ATCTATAAAAACATAAATGCCTTAATTTGAAGAAGTTTTGTTGTAAGTCGATGTCTTATATTTCGTTAAACAGGAATGTGTCAGTTTTTATCTTCAAACGGTTAGGCTGCGCGTGAGTCGACTGAGAGACGCCCGTGGGTAAGTGTTGCAGATTTTGAGTTTGAGTACCTTTGACGTCCCCGAATATGGGTTTTCGATACAGGGCTGAATTTGGACGTGACGAAATATCGGAGTTTTGTTGTGATTGCAGTTTTTCGATATCTTAGTTGTAGAGGTAGTTTTCATTAAGTTGGTTATTATTTTCATTTATTAAATACTTTTAAATACAATATAAGCTCGGTACATTTTAATCGATTTTAAAAAAGGAGGTGGTACTCAAATAAATTATATTTCTTAAATACATTTTAAAATGAAATGAAATTTTAACTTAACGTACAACATGCAAGACTTTGTAATAAACTTAATAATGAAAGAACTGACGTACACCAGTACCATTTACATTAAGGATAATAAATAACATCTAAAATTAAAACTACCTATTCTTATTTTCCCCATAAATTATCCCATAATAATTATAAATGGTATAAAAATGCTAAGCGCACATTTACCTCTATTTCAGAGACGTATTTAGATTATTAAAAATAAATTTGTATAATTTTAACAGTTTAATAAGTAGTGTCTTTGGTACAGCGCTCATGAGACACGGATTTGGATTTACTAAAATATTTAATCTAACAACTACTTTTTTATATGTTTACTTCATACTTAAGTAATGAATTCTTACTAGACTTACTAGAATTCTTACAGCACTATTTTATTATTTATCGTTTTAAGGAAATAAGAAAATAATCGCGCATTCGTTAAAATAAATATCATGAGAGATTATGCAAACAAACAAACAAACATACATACTGCTTTAAACATTCAATGTAAGCGAATATGCTGTGAATTAGTTAAAATAATTCCAAGCAACATGAAATTGCTATCAAGAATGACGTCTAAAACAGTATGGCAGCCTCGTGGACATTTGTCAATTTCACAGTAAGCAATAAAATGAAAATACAATATTATTTCAGTACCCTTCCACAGAATCAATAAGTGCACACGTGTCGCGCTCCCACTTTAAGTTTTCTGTTCGAAGAAATTGTTCCTTCTGTCACACCGTTGCGAATGTTGGATAATATATTTAATTAATGGAAATAGAATTTTAAGTTTAACTCCGTTAGATAATGTATAAATTTGTCTCAGTAGCCAATTCAGCAGATAATATTGAATTTTCGAAATAGAATGTATTATTTACATTTGCTTTTGAATTCAATTACCTATATGGAATTTATAACAATGGGTTCTGTGTTTTTATATTTGTTCATATTGATAATATACGTATGTACAAACATCATAGGTTTAGAAAACACTTTCACCGTATGCTTCTCTTATATTACGACACTGTGTGATAGGCGGTCGATTCAAATAAATGTTTTATAGACAGCAGCAGGTAAATATCGACCGATTTTGTAGTTTCTAACTAACAATATAATAAACTATTGCTAGAATGTTTTGATACTGACAAATGTGTCATACATAGCTTCTAGTTTCCTAATATTTACATTAATAATATCGCGAAATGTACGCTTTGTATTGTTATTACATGAAATTAATCACTATTTAGGTATAATTTAGTTATATTATAATCTATCTAGTTGGGTTTATATTATTATAATTAATTCAATCAATGAAGTTACTAATACACGTTTCTGGATTAGGTACAAGTTATCTTGCCTTGCGCATAAATTACGACCGAAATTAGTTATCGATTTTAACTCGATTTTTGATAGAAATTCCGTAGGACTGATGTAAAAAATCAATGTCTTTGGGCTTACGTGAACATCGATTGGCAATACATTGCATCTTTTAACATACTTCTCTGTGTCAAAACTTCCATCGTCTATATCAACGAAATCAACATCAAAAGATACCAGTTTCCTTAAACAGCTATAAAGTAGATACAAATAGTTATTTTACGATATTTTAACGTTGCGAGTGGCAATTAGTTATTCGAGTTAGTTATTCGTAGGCGCCGAGTCCGGCCCTGTGTTGAGACGGGTTTGCAACATTGTTGCGGCCGCACACGTAATTGTTTTATTGCTTTTTTTTGTCCAAACAACTGTACGATCCGGTCCGTATTGTACGCGCACAGGACATTGGCCTATTGACACATATCGTTTTAGAAGACAATTTGTAGTTGATATACTTAAAGCAAATGTGATTATAGGAATCAATATTTTTATAGTAATTTTTCCGAATACAAATATTAATTTAAAAGGTACAGTAGGTAGGTAGAAATAGCTTCTGATTTTTTTTCTCAATTTGAAATGCAATTTAAATTGTGTAGGTTGAACGGACGCACATTTTAAAGCAATCAAAAATAACAATGTGACAAGAAAATCGAAAGTGCATTGCAATTATGTGCCGGCCATAAATTATCGTTTGTAGGACTGGCTTACAAACGATGCCGTTCCGAACATGTACGTACTTGAATATTGCAATTTTCATTGATAAATAGTCTCATCCGAAAATGTACACGATTAATGGTTTTATCGCCAGCTGATATTTTATTATTGGTTATATTTTGAACGCTATAAGTATTTTTTATACAGCAGCAATACTAAACTTTGTACGCAAATAGGTAGCGTGTTTTTAAGTAGCTTGTTGACTAAGAACAGTTAGAATGAAAAGTTAGGAAATACATAAATGTTTTTGTATTTAAATTACTTCCGAATCATTTTTGTACCTGAATTTTCAAAGCTAGCATTACAGAGTGTTACAAACTTTGTAATTATACTACTTGTAGATAACAATAATCATTAACGAGTCTTAAAAATAGATATTTTTATATTAAAAAAGTCTACAAGAAAGACACTTAACACACACTATATCATCAACCAGCTATAAAACAATTTTACATAATTAACCGTTCATATAATCTTAATTTTACAAATAAATAATTGTAATATAATACGCCAGTCTATAGTGAACTTAGTATATTTAGTTTGATACTACTAAGGAAACACGTACTTAGATGTGTGTGTTTGTTTGTTTGTATGTGTGTGTAACATACACGTTAAGTAAGGTCGGAGACCAGATCGGATGGATAAGGCAAGGTGAAAAAATATTCACAAAATATGTTATATTAAATTGTATTGACAATTTTATGACTGACTGACTTAGACGCAAGGGTGTAGAATAGTAATGTAGCCTTTAGTCTTTTGTTATTATAGGTGAAATTACTATGATCAGTTTCTTGAATTATTACGTGTTGTGGACATGTGTTTGCCCTGATCAGCATTCTTTGATGACAAGTGCTTAGGACATACGGAACGATAACATAAACTGTGTCGCTGAAGAGTGACATACTAGGACATTTTGTTTTAAAAATAAATTGTATTGTTGTTTGAGATCAAGGCAAATGAGACAAACGTGACTACAGAAAAACGAGCACTTTTTCCTGGGCTCATTTGTCAAAGATTATCTGCAGTACTTAGTCTAAAGTTGGGTTGTATAAAAAAACAGTTGACTTCAAATAAATGCACAAAAAATTGTATAAATCTATTAAAACGCATCCATAATTTCTAACTAGAGATTTGTACATCAACGTTCTAATTAGAACGTCTTCTATTTTCAAAATGACAGTTGTCATTTAATGTCGCCACAGACTACGTAAAATGATGTTCAAAGGAAAATATGAATTATTTTATTTATTCAGTTGATCTGTACGTTCACAAATAACTGGTTTTGTAACTGATATGTGGTTCGATATTGTTTAGGTTTAATACTTTAGTTAGGTAATATTCTTTGCCTGTGATTCCGTTAATTATTCTAAATACAAGTACTGAAGATAGTGGCGTACCTAACTATACCGTTGGAGGCCCGTAGCAAATTCATCGAAGCGGAGACCTAACAAATATAAAAAAGATATAGTCCAGATGAAAACCTCTAAACGGTTGGCCCCTTCCGAACGAATTTTGCCGACTTGTCATTGCCTTCCTGAAGCTCCGCCACTGGTTAAAGGTTATCATATTATATGAACTCATGAACTTCTGAACTGGTTATGGGTGAACTCTTCGAAGTATCAATGGAATAAATTGTTTTTATTAAACTGTCAAACACCAAGCGGTCACCGGTGACCGCAACCCATTGTTCTTTAATTGTGTCTATAATGACGGTGCTCGACGAGTTAAAGCTGCCCTTAGACCTAAGATTAGCTGCACTAGAATTAGGATTAAGTTTAACTGCACTAGTATTACAATAGGATAGGATGGGAGGAAAAATCCTAGTCAAAGCATTTAGTTCCACAAACTTGTCACATCTAGACAGTGAGCAATAATTTGAACACTACTCAGCCAGACGCCTTAGGAAATAACAGGTGTCCCTGTGACAGCCATGTAAAGTTGTTTTATTTATGTTTTAATACCAAAACATGTCAGACACCTAATAGGGATGGTAGCAATGTTTGAATGTTGACTATAAATATTTCAATTGTATTTGTATTTGCATAATGAATACCAAAAATAATATAAATACAACGCGTGTTAGTCTCTAAAATGGTACGTTGATCTCATTGATAGATAAATAAATTATCTTTTTATAATAACTATCGTGAGACATACTAAATTACCTAAATATCGCGGGTTACTCGCGTGAATATACTGATGAAAGTTCTTTAGATCAGTAGGCTGCGCGACATCGCCGCGACCGCGCACGCTGCTCATGAGCAAGAACCCCTCTGTGGTTCGAAACTAGTAGAGCTTTTCTCAGTATTTTCAGTTTAGTATAAACTGTTGGTACTCTTATGTAGGATATTTGTAATGAGTAAATCTGTGTTAATTCTAAGATCTCCAATATGTAAGACGTGGATGGAGTCAGCAAAGCAGGCTTATGATCCAGTGATGATGGTGTGTCAGTTTAATGTATGATTAAACTGGTGTTGTTTTATGTTCCAGGCGGCGCAGGAGCCCTCGACGCCCCCTTCGACGTCAACATCGACGTCAGCGGCGGGCGAAGGCGCCAGTCGCTCGTAGGGCGCCGGCGTCTGACGTGGGACTCTGTGTATATTCCCAGGACACCTAGTGCTAGATCTGTTAAGTTACGCCCACACGAAAATGTACCTTATGTTATGTTGTTATAAGTATCATACTTTCTCCACGCACTGTCACGTGATTTGACCTTGAACTTACAAACCAATTTCGCTTCGTGAATGTCTCGACACTACTTTTCGTTTCAAAAGACAAATATCAGAAACTTGTTTAAAAACAAAGCAACAGATAATACCTACAGATAATTTGTCTATGCCCTAAAAATTATAGAGTAAAAATGTAAAATAAGGTTATATTCACATATCGGTGCGTTCAAATCACAATCCATAGATAGCTTATGTTTATTTTTTTACAAAAACTTGTAATTAGAAGTCGTACGATGTATATCGGTGTCCATCATTTGTGTGCGAGCTCTACTTTGTATGGCAACACTGACAATTATGTCACTTGGCCTTTTGATTCCCTGTCATCAGATCGGTTTATCAGTAAAAGTATAAATGTACTACACCTAGCATTGAAAGATAGTCATCGATCAGCGATTATTTTTAATAGACCCGTCAATTTGCAGGCACAATTTCGTGTTCAATTTTAAAAATATTGAATTGGTCCCTTGCCCTAGTTACAACGCGGTGTTGTAAAAAGGGTTATTGCTATTGCGTCTGCCGGGCAAGGCAAAGTACTACTGGGTTTTAGTAAACGTAAGTTAAAAACGAGTAAGTACATCTTCGGCACTCTGATTAGGCTCCGATGAACCCACCAATCAGAGGGCCCAACGCGGTCTCGTTTCGATTACTTCAAACACGAAAGAAACTCGTACTAAGGCCACAGAGTTGGTGTTAATGTATTCTTCTCTGACGTCATCACACGGGATCTTAACAACATAATTTATATTGACAATCGATTGCTGCATTACTCAAACCAAAAAGGGATCATTGAAATTAATGGCAGTCATTATTTTTAAAATATTTTGAGTCAAAATTGAAACGGACATGATGGAATTAATTAGCATATTCACTTGCCGTTATTCGTCACACGTAGGTAAGAATTAAAGGATTTTTTTAAAATATTTCTCTTCAGTTATCTGTATCATATTTTAATTATTTCATACTAATTTAGACTTGACCTTTTTGTAAAAGATTATCGGTTCTGTACCTAATTTTGAATATACCACTCAAGAAACAACAACAGTCTGACTCAGCCAATATAAGGAACTCTTGTTAACTAATAGTAACTGGTTCTTAAGTCAAACGTTACAATATTAATGACCATAGACACAGATAGGGATACGCAGGCGTCGGGCGGGGCATACAAAGTACCGCCCCCTATCTAACAAGTTACAAGTAGTTGATACATAGAAAATAGATTTAGCACCCTATTTTATGATCCTTTTGGTTTAAACATTAATGTAGTAACAATTTATGGGGTGTTAGCTTCGTATATGTCAAATAATTTTAGTAGTGGTGGTTGACCACCTCTACTAGGAAGCTAAAACTTAGGTTCATGAATCGAAAAAAATATTCTTAAAAATCAATGTGACGTAAATTGAAGAAATATTAGATCGGTTTCATTGTATATCTGTTAGCATTATGGAATCAACCTTGCGAAAACAAATACACGTTTTATTGTGCCTACAAAATATAAAGAAAAATGTATTGGCGGGAATCAAAACGTCAAACTATGACATTGACATGTAAGTGACATAACGAAGTGGTATGAAAAATAAACCAGTGATTGTTTATGACTTAACGATCACAGTTGTCATCGTGATCAAAATAATTGTTATTAAATATTGCAACATTCACATTTCTTACTTATAATTAATTATTCCTTTTCATTTGTATTAAACATCACAGTGTGTTTCTATTATTCCTAAAGCACGCACTACTTTTTAACTTTATTCATTCCATCCTATAAAATTAAAGAACTTTGTACTTGCGTAGGTTTGGTCAGGTATATTATGTGATATTTACGAAATTTTGAATTGGTTATGATCTCAAATTCATAAACTGATATTTTTTTAATGTTTTGATTAGTATTTTTTATATAAAATTGTGTGTGGTATGGTAATGGTTTTCCATTGTAAGAAATAATGTAGTCTGTACTATTTTAGAAAAAGTCGATGATACAATTTTCGCAATGGAATTTCATTTTTTGAATTTGCTAACCTACAATTGGGTACATCGTAAGTAGAATTCTCTAGCGAATATCATTTAATTTAAACAAAAGTTTGATACATTATGTTGTATTTTATATTTTGAAACCTATTAAATAATTGCTAGTCACGTTGAGAACAGAATAAAATAAAAACCATTTTGTTTTTCGAATACTTTTTTTAGTTTTTACTTTTATAAACAAATATTTTTGTAAAATTTAGCGATGTAACTTTCTAATTTTCTCGTTTCTTAACTAGCTACTGTTTGTAGGTTTCTTTTAATCTAACACAGCCAAATTGTCTGTAATGTCTTCATGGATTTTTTGTTCATTACTTAAGAACATTTATATTCAAAGTGATTTTTTCATTTTCGTGGTAACAAAACGTCCAAAAAAATCTCCTAACAGCCGTACCAAACTTCGTCCCTTAGAAATCGACCGTCTCACATTTTTCATAGTTTTCATACTATTAACTAGTACGATTTCAAGTAAAATATTATAATTATTCTAATACTTCGTAAGGAAACTTAGAGTGTATTCAAGATTCTACGCACCTACGTCTTTACATATTGTAAATAATTTGTAAATATATAATTACATTGACGAGTTGTCAGGATATTATTTAGTTTTAATAAGGTAAGAAGTACTCCAAACAGGAGTGGTTACCTTAACTGTTATAAATTCTCTGATTATTCATTTAAAGATAATGTCATTGTGAATTTTTTGTTAATAGCACAGTAAGAACTGAAATAATTGTACCCTATTATTATTGTAGTTGTAAATTGTGAAAGGATCCTAGTATTTTTTAAGATCTAATAATTTTTAAGTTTTAGGATTTAACGTTGACATTACTTATTTATGATTATTGTTGTAACTTTTAGATTAACATTTCAATGTTAAACTTCCGCCCATCGAATCGAGGCATCACAATTTTTGTGATAATCAATAAGATAAATAAAAATTTAGAGTACCTACCTACTACCTAACTACTTAAATATGAATGAAAAAAAAAGTTCTTCGTAATTTTGTCCAATTCGTGAGTCCATTAAGATTACGTAGTGTCGAAATTAAAGTAGATTTTTTATCTTTACGCGAACATATTTAGGTAAAAAGCCAAAGTTGTAATGTCTAGCTGCTTTTGTTTATCAGATAATTGTAAAAAGAATCATAAGTACCCCAATCGTCCGTAACATCTGGTGCTTACGTCACAATCTTCCTAAAATACATTTTTTCTCTTTTGTATAGTATAAGAAGTCAGTAACAGCACATAAATTAAGCGACAGTCCATCACAGTAGTATAGCTAACAAATTTAAATTAACGATTTAAATATTTAAGATTAGTTTTTAAGGAATTGCTGTAAGGAAGTGGTTTTGGGTCGGTAGAGGCGACATCTTTTGCGGAAAAAGTTTTGTTATTATCATATGTTGTTTTCATTAATTTTGGTCCAATTTTTAGTTGGGAGTTCAGGTTCAAACACCTATGGAATCAGCCAACAAAATAATAAAAATGTTGCAATTGTTGAAAATGTTGTCATGAAACCTTACTCTCAACTGAACGGTTGGTTTTAAAACATAGTTCACATTTGCAGTTTTAAAACGTAAAATAACATCTCAATAACATTATAACCTTCAGACAACCGTACAGGGTTTATTTGTTTGAAAACTGTTAAATATTAAATAAACAAATTATCGTTAAGTGTTACAGTACAGTTAGAAACATAGGTCTTTGCTGTCAATCCTACTAAAATAACCAATTACGTGTATTGATTAAAAAGAAAAAAAAATGATTTTGAAAGACTAGGTAGGGTTTTTGAAAAATAATTATACAGGATAATAGATATTTATAATTACACAGATTGTTCCGAATAAAAAAGTGAACAAATAAAAATTGCCAATATTAATAAAAAAAGATGTATAAAAAATTTTGACAACTTATGTCGACAGTTTAGTCGTTAAGTTTCTCGATACTACCGCATTATTAAAATTAAATTAAAAAGTGCCTACCTAACTTCAAAAACAATATCGCACCTACGGTGTAATATCGTCACTTATGCAATTTTTGTCAAAACGTAACTGATTATGAAAGAATACTTCAAATTCACCTCTTTACTTGGTGCGTTATTGTAATTTGTGTAGTAAGCAAACTGACATTGTGAGGGCATTACTGTCGTTACGGTTTTGGCGCTAATCTGGACGGCACTAGGAGAAACAACGTTTCATTGTTCAGTTGCGCGCGGGCCCCCGAAATACATAAGTGACGGTATAGCACCGGAGGTACGATATGTTTTTTTTTTCTAATCAGTACACTTATACCATCTACAATTTTGTTAACGACTAATAGTTTGTGTAAAATAAACTGCACATGTGAACGTTAAAAATTCCCAGTTTTGTACAATATTAATATAATTTATTAAATTGTTGACATCCTGTCTGAAAACATCTTTATTGTGTATGTATTACATCTATTTTAATTAATTATTCATAATTGCACGATAATTCTACAAACTTGAGTAATTTTTGTTTCTGTGAACATAGAACGTATTTTCGTAGAAATAAATAAATATTTTAAGTGCTATCTGTATCTATTATTATAATTTTAAAATTCATATCGAATTATTTATTGTCTGTGGCGAAGGGCCTTAGTCAAAAATGCTCGAGCTTTGTTTTAAAAAAAAACCTTTTCAATTACTTTCAAAATATCAGTTCAAATTGTAAGAATAAGTATTGCAACATACCTATTTTCAATGTTGATACTTACTGTCTATTTGTAGATAATTATCTTCACGACTTGACTGTCTTTTGTTGGAGAGGGCTGACACAATGGAAAGCCTTTGACACGACTCTTTCGCTTCATCTACATTTATCAATCTTTCCAATTCTTTTCATACATCCATCATGCATAGGTACCCGTCGAGTGAAGGTGCTGTAAAATTGGTTTTGATAGTTTTTCAATACATAATTTTATTAGGTATGGTTTTTAATTCTGCGATTTTTTTGGAAAGGTAAATAATTCGAGCATTTAAGTAAGACTACGGCCCTATCAATGTATTGTACCTACATGTCCTGTAATATTTATTTATCGAATACATATTGAAATATGAGATATTTCTGCAAGTTTTGCTGGTTTTCTAATGTGAAAAGTGATATTTAAACTATTTCTTGTCAAATAAACGGTTTCGATGATCGTTTCAACGTTTTGTTTGATTTATTTATGAACCCTTTCCTTATTCCCGTACGTCACTCTGTTTTTACATTATAAAGCGCATTCTTCGTTACTTGAAGAGATAAAAATAGGACAAATGTTTAGTTTTTAATTAGAGACCTGATTACTTTATTGTATTATGCCTGTAATTAATATTATGCCTGTAATTAAATAGTCTACCAGCTGAGAATCTCAAAAATCAATATATTAAAGTAATATTGATACCAGTGGTTACAAATAATTATGCAAAATGTATCTAATAAAGCCATAAGCTGGTTTTAACACGAGTAAATTTTGTTGAAACTTATTGCAGTGTTTTTAAAAGATTTTCTAAGATTTTATTCAACTATTTCTTAACTAAGAGCTACTTAGCGTGAGGAAGCATTTAAACCTAAACTTTTACTTGCAGGTGTAGAAGAGCGGTTAGTGAAAACCAATATTAGGAATCTGCATAAAGCGCAGGAGGTATCTACCTATAACATTGGGCGCGAAAATAGTTTTACGATGTATTACCGCCATCTCGTAGATGAATTCAAATGTTTTGTCTTGACAACATGCACGGTCGAGGAATTTAGTCTTGTTAGTTCATATATTCTTCGCTAGATGTCACGTTTGTAAATTGTACAGGAAAGTAAATAAAGATGTCGCTCTTGCAAAGTTATAATAATTTGTAAAGCTAGTTATAAAATTCATATTTATTATTTTTGTTTTACTATTTCTACCCAACTGGAGGTCATTAAAGGTCTGTACTGTAAGACTGTCTGTACTGTAAAACTGGAGGTCATGTATTGTAAGACCATTGTCTTACAATACATTAAAGGTACCTACTGTTTTTACAAATTACTTCATAGTTAAATAGTTTTCTTGCTTCATTGTATATAGAGATAAAAAATATGTTTAAATAACTAGATTTTTAAAGTATTCAGCACAAATCCATTTTTTTATTGATGTCATAAATTCAAAACCAATTGTCTAACTTTCTCTGTAAACAAACACAATGTCATTCTGTCAAGTCAACTGTCAAACTGTCAGTATGATAAGAAGTTGTTAGCTCACATAGTTCTCCCGGCTTTGTAAAAATACTTTATTTTCGATAAATTTTATTAATTCGCTCGTACAAGTCGTACAAAAAAGTAATGAACAATTTACATCAGTGAAACATTTTACTGCGTTTGGTGGCTAAAGTACCGAGAACAAATAAAACAATTTGGAGGTTAAGTATGTGAGAACAACAACAACAAATTCCTTCAAAACACTAATAAGAAGACATCACGATGTCTACTCCTAACATAGAAGAAACCATCTTTAAATACGAGACCTTTATTAACGACGTACTAAGAGAAGACCTACGTCGAGTGCAAATAAAATTAGAAAAAACCAACGCTGAAATTTCAGACTTGATCCAAGAGAAACATACAATAAGAGTGGTCACAGACAAAAAGATGCATCCTAACGGCTTTAAGACACAAGTAAATATAGGTTGCAACTTTTTTATGGAGGCAGCAGTCCGTGATACTTCTAAATTGCTTATGAATATAGGTTTAAATAATTATTTGGAGTTTACTCTCGAAGAAGCCAATAAGTACTTGGATGTAAGAATAAAAGCGTTTGAGGAGCTGGCTACGGCATTACAGAATAAGGCTGCTAAGATTAAGGCACATATCAAAATGATGCTTATTGGAATTGGACAGTTACAGGACGAACAGAATGTGGAAGATCCAAAAAAACGACGGAATGCGAATGATGAATCATTACATGGTATGAAAGACCGATAGATTCGTAATTAATTGAATCTTTGAATTCATAAATAATTAATAGTTGATAAAGCGAAAGAGGTATGTAAAAATCATAGCAATTGGTGTTCCATATTCTCTGCCTACCTCCATGGGAGGTAGACGTGAATTTAAGTTATGTATTCATAATTAATATGTTGAACATTGTGGCAGTCATAGTGTCTGTTTGTAGCAAAAGACTTACCTTCAAGTTTTCTGTCGGCAGTCAAAGACTTACATACGTAATCTAATTTTTAAGCTGTTGTTGTATAAACTTATTGTATTTTGGCTATATTCTAAGCTTTGTAAAAAAAGTTAAGTTGGTTGTGTTAAGAAAGGCTTACATCAACTTGACTCCAGTTAACAACTGATCATAAATGTTAACTGGTCATAAACATTCATCCAGTTCCTTCTATACTGAAATCCTCTATAGGGTCTCCATGTTTTCCCAGATCTAGGGTTGAAATCTGCACCAAAAACTTGGGTTCTTTTACCAGTTCAGTTTCCAGTGGAAACTGTACTCACTTGAGCATAAACTCCTGTTAACAGTCCAGATTGATTTGCGCAACTCATTTCCGAGTATATATTATATGGAATTAAATTGATCGGGACCGCTGACCCTTTGCAGAATTACATTCTGTAATTTCCGTACATTAAATTGCTTTCTAAATTTAAAAGAATTAAACTATTATCATATCAGCCACGAGACATCATGCATCACTATGCAAAACATGGCCTATGTTTATGTTATCGAATGATACATTCTAGATATTACACAGTCCATACCAAAATGGAGTGTAGGCCCAGAAGGAGATGGCGGGATTAACTTGACGTCTCTGAAAAGGATTGGCCATAGAAATCTATAAGAAGAGATGAGCGGAAGTAGGGTAGGGAGGCCTTTGCCATGAATTGGGATGTCCATGGTTAGAAATGAAAATGATAACAAATATCAAAAGTTTAGTTTGAATTAAACAGATCCTTTGTTGTTGATATTCCTTGTATGTACATACATTACATTGTATTTATGTATGTTACGTTGTACAGTGGCATTAAGTGCCGTAATGTGCACCTCTGCCTACCCCTTCGGGGATAAACGGTGTGATGTTATGTTATGGTTGAAATTCCTTGCTTCTCTCAGAAAATGTAATTATATTAAAAGCATTTTTGTACTACCTATTTATGTGATAATAGTTATTTTTAACATGATTGTTAGCTTTAACATATTATATGATTTTGAAGTAAAATATATGTTAAACACAAAATGTATATTTAAGTAACTACCTATAGGTACTGGATTTCGTTTTTATGCATTATATTATTATTAAATATTTAAAGTAATTTGAAAGTTTAAACTCAAATCGCTGATCAGGGTGCTTACTCTTGAAACCAATCTCAATGTCAATTTAATCGCATTCCAAGAAAATATCAATTATTCATTGTGAACACAAGATAAATAACATTAATTCAGGGCATAGAATATAAAGCCATTTAGTTCATTCAAGACCCACGCATTACGTATGCAATGGGCGCTAGTGTTGCAACTCAAGAATACGTAATTTCACAATATCATTGTTGATTGATTGGAATTTGATTCAAGAGTAAGCTCCCAGGAGTCCCAGAACTGTTCACCCCAAAACTGAAGTATGGTAAACATAATCATTTGTACCTTTAACAATTACAATTATATTTTTGTTGCTTTATAAAATGTATTCTAAAATTAATCTATTTTTAAACTGTAACTGAGTTGGTCATATTGATTGATCAATTTGTACCATGTGCCACTTTGATAAGGTATATTATAGATTACGTAACTAATTGTTAATTTAATGTTATAGCCTAAGTGTACCTACTCTGTAAAAATATAATCATTGTTTATGTACTATATCACATTTTGTATAATAGAAAACTTTGTATTTTATTAATCAAATGGTTTTTATTTTTTTATTTCAATGCACGTGTGGCCCGTGTCGTATGTCGTGGTGGCCCGGAGGTTTAAGACGCCTACTACATGCTGCACTCATGAGGGTGCGGGTTCGAAAACTACCAACGACTATCACAAATCGGACTTTTTCCGAGTTACATATACTTTCTAAGAATATCTAGACACCCCTGACAAACGGTAAAAGAAAATATCGTGTGGAAACCTGGGCATATAATTTCTAATTATAAATTTATAATCGCCAACTCGCATTGAGCAAGCGTAGTGATTAATGCTCAAACCTCCGCGTGAGAAGAGGCTTTGCTCAGCAAAGCAGCTTGGGCATTTATAGGCTGTTGATGATTGATTGATTGAATTAAATGCACTTCATCTGCATACTATAACTTTCACTTCTGGTTTTCAGTTTAAACTGTCAAATACCAAGCGGTCACCGGTGACCGCAACCTATTGTTCTATAATTGTGTCTGCAAAACCGGTACTCGACGAGTTAAACAAATTAATATTGAGTTTTTAAAGCAATTGTACATTTTTACGTACCTATTTACACATAACATATTAGGTAGGTACCTACGCGAGACTTAACACGTCCTTTTTGCATTTATTTTCTTCCTAATTAGAAAACTTAATAAATACTTACGTACTTAAATAAAATTATCTCATTTGGGAGAAATTAATTCCCTCACCGACCGCTCCAATTGGCAAAAAACTGAAGAGTTTTAATTCAAATTATGTATTCGGTTTCCCCAAGCACTTATTAAAGTCTAATAAAGCGTCTAGTGCTCTCTAGACTTATTACTTAAGTCCTAAATGCCTGTAATCAGCTCAAAAGTCGCTGTCCTAAGCACTAACGACAAAATTAGGGTTAATTTGAATATTTGATAGTCTCAACTCAAGGAGCAGGGGTACATTATTACCCAATTGGTTGGAAATACTTGAATAAAATTAGCATTAGAATGATTATAGGGTTAGGTTTCTGTTGTGGAACTTATTATGACGTAAGAAAGTGTGGTAAGATTTATTTTTTACACAACATCACGCCGTTTATCCTCCATGGGGTAGGCAGAGGTGCACATAACGGCATTTAATCACCGTACAATGTAACACTCACTTTTCACTATTTAGGTTATGACTTCCATGTAATAGGGTTAGGTATATATATTTTTTGTTAATTTCTTTTCAAGTTACAGGGCACCTCATATACTTGGTGATCCGCAATAAAATTTAATGAGAGCAAACTTTAGTAGGTACCTTCGATAGCCTGGTCGCGTCATCGAAGTCATTAGGGGAGCTAGCTAGGGGAGCCTATGTTCAGCAATACCCTCAATTTCTCGATCAGATAAAATATTAAATACTTGTTACACTTACAACCTACCAACTATTTTTCTATTAGGTATTCGTATTAACATAATTTAAATTAGGTAAGTAGGTACATTGTTTAGTTAGCACACACGTAAGTACCTACCTATTGTCGCGGAGAACCTAACGGGTAACCGGGGCTCCGGCTCGACGTGCAGGAGAAGGAACGGGGTGGTTTTTAATCAGTAAGAGTCTGACACTCCCTCCCGCCTCACCCAGGCGGGGGCAGTCATTCGATGATTTTCCCCCCTTAAAAAAAAAAAAAGTACCTACCTATTGCATCTTTTATTAATAATGATATAACATTATTGTCCATTTTATTTTATTTGTTTGTTCGACCTTCTGTCTATGAGTTATTGCAGGGATCGACACGAAAATCAGAGTTGAGTATGGAAAATAAACCGTGGTTGAAAAATTAACTGTACCTAGAAAATAATATTTTATGTGGCGGCGAGCGCCGTTGGAACCTGACCTGATGAAGAGGAGTTATCAGTTCTTTGTCGGCCTTATATAAAAAGTATCTAGGCTCTTTTCTCGGAGGCTGTTTTTAGCGTATTGCTTTGTTTGACTTCTCGACTTCGCGTTTTTTAAGAGCAGTGTGAAGAATTGATATTTCAGACTTTATTATAGCGATGAGACGTATATACTGGTAGAGGTATATATACCAAGTATGTGCTTCCCAGTACATAGACCGGGTACGGACCGAAATACTGGGTAAATACCTTGAAGGTATGACGTCAGACGCATAGTACGATACGAACCGCTACCACAAGGTAGCGTCCAGTTTTATCGGTAGTTCGGTACGCCGAAGCAACCCGAAGCTACCCGACAGCTTACGAAGGGACACGAAACGTCAATCGTGCTTTATGAACATTCGGTTGATTTAATTTTGTTAGACAAAATGGGTACTTATTTTTACGTGCATAAGGAACATACATTTTTTGTCACGACGTGAAAGAGTTCCTTAGTTTGTTTATGTTAGGGAATATTATTACGTGTTTGAATGTTTACGTTTAGTGGTACCTATGTCGACAATGTTTTGATTTTTTGCGTCAGTTGTGATTGCGATTTCATTACACCTGTTTGTTTTTATGTATAAAAGTGTATAGCTTTTATTTATGTGTAACAAGTTAACAACTTTGTGGTGTAAATATATTCAAGAAAGTGTAAATATTAGTTGGATAGCACTTAGGTTAGGTATTCTTCCTAGTAGGTATATTAGAGGACTTATATAATTTATAAATGAGTAATAATGGCTCCTAAAAAAAGTGTGGCATGGGATCACTTTACCGATAAAGGTGATTTTAAAGCAGAGTGTAAAATGTGTAAAGCTGTTTTCTCTTACAAATCCGGAGTCACAAATCTCACAAAACATATCCAGAGGAAACATCTTGCTGTAAATTTAGTTAGGAGGGATAATAATTTGAACCAACTAGAAAATCAACCTATTCAAGAAGCACAGATGAATGCCCCACCAATGTCACAAACTACTGCAACCGGTATTTCCTCTCAAACTGCGACGACGTCGAGTATGGTACGAAGTCATCCGTCCAGCATATCAGCATTTCTTAGACGCGATTGTAATAAAATAAAAAAGGAAATTGATGATCACTTAATGAATCTGTTTGTATGTGACATGCAGCCGTTTTCCATAGTAGAAGATAAAGGATTTCGTGAATTGATCAAGTTTGCATTCCCAAATTATACAATACCATCAAGAAAATATTTTGCAAACAATTTATTGCCAGGACTGTATGAAGAAGTAAAAACTGCAACTAAAATTTCTGTAAGTGAAGATGCAAGTAGTATATGCTTAACCACCGATATTTGGACGTCGAGAAATAATGACTCCTATCTGGCGATCACGGGTCATTACATTGATAGGAATTATAATTTACAATCTGTACTTCTCGAATGTAAAGTTTTAGAAAAAAGTCACACTGGTGTACATTTGGCCGAGGAGATAAAAAATGTAACTCAGGATTGGTCTATTCCATCTGAGAAAGTGCTTCTTGTAGTTTCCGATAATGGTGCGAACATAACGAATGCTGTAAAGCAAATATTAGGGTGGAAACATTTTAGCTGTTATGCGCACACGTTAAATCTAGCGGTACAAAAGATATTAGGAAACTCCTACATTAAAGATACTTTAAGTAAAGTAAAATCAATAGTGTCATATTTTAAGCGTAGTAATGTGGCTTGGAACAAATTGAAGACTTACCAAGAGCAAGCCAATAAGGTGGTGAAGAGGCCCCTTCAAGACGTCCCTACACGGTGGAATTCCACATTTTATATGTTGTCACGATTTGTCGAGTTAAAAGATGAAATTAATTGCGCAATGAGCAATTTAGATGTAGTGAATTGCACTCGTTTAACAAGTTACGATTGGGATGTATGTCAATCATTAATTTGGGTGTTGCGTCCATGTGAGGAAGTTACCAGAGAAATGAGCGGTCAAAAATATGTTAGTGGTAGCTCGGTGATTCCCATAACGGTTGGCCTTACCAATGCTCTACAGGAAATTGCTACTGAGACATACCGACAAGAAAACAATATAAGTATATTTCCAGACGAAGTTGAAATGTGCCGCCAGGATTTACTCTCCGAAATTAATAGTCGATTTCAAAATTTAGAAAGGAGCCGTACCTTAACTATCTCTACATTTTTAGATCCAAGATATAAATTATATTTCCAAAATGCAACCGTAGCAGAAAATACTAAACATCACGTTGTGGGTTTAGTAACATCTATGATCCAACAAACAGAAACTAATCAACCTACAACTACAGGCTCTGAAGCACCACAAGATGTCCAAGAAAAAAAATCTAATAGTTTAATTTGGCAACATTATATTAAAACCATGAAAAATGTACGGCCAACTGGTACAGCCAACAGTAGGGCTATCATAGAAGTACAAAAATATATAGATGACAGTGTGTTATCACCAGACATGGACCCATTGACATGGTGGCGAGCTAACCAAAGTATTTACCCGAACTTAGCCAAACTGGCCAAATTAAAATTGAACGCAATGGCTACCAGCGTTCCATGTGAACGGCTATTTTCTGTTGCCGGAAATATATTAACAGAAAGAAGATCGCGGCTTGGTAGTCGAAAAGTCCAGCAATTAATATTCCTGCAGCAAAATAAAAAACACTAAAAACCGTACAAAAAAAAAAAACAAAAAAAAATAAAAAAAAAACAAAAAACCTGACAAAACTAAAAAAAAATATTGCAAATTAAAATTACGATTGTAAATAAATTGATTTGAAATCTTTTAACTACGCCGGCTAGTTAGTCAGTTTAAATATAATTAATGTTATTTTGCATTAATTTAAATAGAAATAACTAGAATTCATTAATAACCATCGTCATACTCTTAGCCGACAGTCCTAAGCCTGGTAAAGTAGGAAGGAAAGATTTCATATCTCATAATGCATAATTACGTATGGGTACTTGAAACATCGTACCTACATTATATTGGAGGCATACCCTACTTATCGCATACGTTTACTTATCGAAATCCTACCACACCCAAATACTTAGAAGTATTTTGATACCCGGTATTTGTACCAGGTATTTAGTGATACCCATACCTTAAAGGCCGGGTATGGAGA